CGTTAGAAATGTACGTTTAATCAATTTGCTCGGCGTTTGCCGAGCTCACATGCTGACATTCACAATCCTAACCATTTTTGGTATAGGATCTACAAATCTTCATTTTATAATGAAGTTCTCTTTTGGATTCTTAATTTGATCCTATCCAAAATGAGAACTTCATTATAAACGCTCTTTAAAGAACTCTCTGATCCATATTTTGTCAGAGATTGCATATCAATTACACTAGAGCAAAGTTCTTCCTGAAGATTAATCTTTTATAAGCTGATCCTCAGAAAGAACTTTGCTCTTTTCGACTTATATACAGAATCCAACGATAAATTGGGGGAACGGTATTAGCTACCCTAAAGTACTATGAATTTCTCTTCATAGTACCTTTTGAGAAGCTAAATACCGCTCAAATACATTGTTTTAGAGGTGATTACAAGAACCCAACATTAATGCAAAGTTCTTTGGGTCTATCTCAATCAATAAGGTAACTCAAAGGAGTTTGCATTAATTAAGGAATATCTTATTCATAAAAAGCATAAATACATTAATTATGAACAGATTTCTTTCGAAGACCCCAATTAAATGAGAGTCTTCGAAAGAAATCTGTTCATAATATAGTAAATACTTGAAAACAACTCTTTGGTGAGTAAAGAATGATACGTCAAACCCTAATTAGGATAACTCTGCAAGAGTTTCACTATTTAGTGAAACATCTTGTTGAGTTTTTTCTTAATTTATGATTGCTGACGTTCCGATGACCAGAGAGTACTTTTACAACGCTTTTAGAGCAGTATTAATACGAAGCCTTTCATTGAATGAGAGACTTCGGATTAATACTGTTCTATTCAAGTAGTCTCACTAAGCACTGACTTCCTGTAGACTAAAGAACTGGATTACATCTACTAATCAATTGATTCGGATGGAAATCAGAAAGCGTATTCGAGAAGATACAATCCAGAAGTGCAAGACTTAAGAATTCTAAGTTAGAATATCATAAGTACTGCAGTCCTGGATTGTAGAATTCATATGATGGCCAAGTGGAGAGATCATAATGATGCAGGATAATGTATGCGGCAAATGATGTTATATGCTTATAGAAGTAGGCAAATGCAGTACAATGATATATACTTTATATAAACATATAATATCATTTGACGTATAGCATAATATCAAGATAGCAACGCAAAATAAATTTTTAGAGGGTAAAAATATATGAAAATGGGTAAAATTCAATAGTGTCTGACATATCGTTGTTTTTGATGGTGTCTTATGTAACCGTCAGACACATTCAAATTTTGAATGGTGTCTTGTGGTTTGACAGACACCTTTGAAAAAATAAAATCTCTTTTATTTTAATTATATAGAACCTTTACATATTATACTAGATTTTACCCGTTTTAATTGTTGAGTTTTGATATAATTTTTCTTTGAAAAATGCGCAAAATAAATTTGAAAATAAAAATTTTGAAGTCAAGACACTATGATGACACCTAGCAATTTCTCAGAGACACCTATCGTTGGGAAAATTACAACCCTAAGGGTTGTACAAACTGGCACAATTTTGCGGGCCGCGTGCCAGCTCCTGGCAGGCGGCCAAAATCAAAAAAGTGGCCAAAAATCGGGCCTCGTGGCGTGGAAAGGATGTCGCCCTTCGGGCTCCACCCTTTCCACGCCACTCGGCCTATGACCACAATTATATAATATGCTCATTATTATTTTTTCTTCTTTTTTTTCTTTTTCTCTTTTCTTTCTTCTTTTTCCCTTTTCCCTTCCTTTTTTTTCTAGTTTTGGAAAGGAAAAAGTAAAAAATTTAATAATTAATTTTATTACTATGAAAATATACTTTTTAGCTTATATTGTAAGCTGTGAGAGTTTTAAGTGATGGAAGATATAAATCAAATTTGAAATTCAACAAATCTTGTTATGATTAAGTTGAATATTGTACTCTAATTAAGAGTTTTCAGTTATGAACTCAGGTATTATATAATAAAAGTATAACTCAAGATAATAAAGAGGTTTTTAAAATGTAGATCTGAAAATCAAACTACCATGTTTGATATGATTAAGTTGAATAATGTTATTTTATTAAATGGTTCAAATCTGTGAAATCGGCAATTACAAATTAAAGGCGTAGTTCAAAAAATTAAAGAGATTTTAAAAATTTAATATCAGAATTAAACTAAAAAAAGGATTTAGTTATTTCAGTAATTATCAGAAAAGGTTAAAAAGATAGGGTAAGTAATGAGACTTGAGTGAGATGTGAGAAATCATATGTAAATAATTAGATATCTGATGAGTAAGGTAGTAATGAGAGTTAAGATCTGGTTAGTAAGGTAGTAATGAGAGTTAAGATCTGGTTAGTAAGGTAGTAATGAGAGTTAAGATCTGATTAGTAAGGTAGTAATGAGAGTTAAGATCTGGTTAGTAAGGTAGTAATGAGAGTTAAGATCTGATGAGTAAGGTAGTAATGAGAGTTAAGATCTGGTTAGTAAGGTAGTAATGAGAGTTAAGATCTGGTTAGTAAGGTAGTAATGAGAGTTAAGATCTGGTTAGTAAGGTAGTAATGAGAGTTAAGATCTGGTTAGTAAGGTAGTAATGAGAGTTAAGATCTGATGAGTAAGGTAGTAATGAGAGTTAAGATCTGGTTAGTAAGGTAGTAATGAGAGTTAAGATCTGGTTAGTAAGGTAGTAATGAGAGTTAAGATCTGGTTAGTAAGGTAGTAATGAGAGTTAAGATCTGGTTAGTAAGGTAGTAATGAGAGTTAAGATCTGGTTAGTAAGGTAGTAATGAGAGTTAAGATCTGGTTAGTAAGGTAGTAATGAGAGTTAAGATCTGGTTAGTAAGGTAGTAATGAGAGTTAAGATCTGATGAGTAAGGTAGTAATGAGAGTTAAGATCTGGTTAGTAAGGTAGTAATGAGAGTTAAGATCTGGTTAGTAAGGTAGTAATGAGAGTTAAGATCTGGTTAGTAAGGTAGTAATGAGAGTTAAGATCTGATGAGTAAGGTAGTAATGGGAGTTAAGATCTGGTTAGTAAGGTAGTAATGAGAGATCTGCGGGCAGTAATGATACATCTATGAGTACATAACTAAAACCTGAGTTCTATGAGCGAAATCTGAGAGCTAAAAGCCGAGAGATCTAAGGTAAGTAATGAGAGAAGAGAATTTGAAATTTTACAAAATACGTTTACTCATACAAAATAATTCGCATTCTTTTATAACGAATCTCAATGCCAATTAATACATAAAACAGATTTTAGCAATCAATTGCAAGATTTAGAAAGATTTTATTTATAATCTCAGCCAAATTAACAAATATTTTATTGATTTCGTAAAAAATAGCAATGAAACATAAAAATATGACATTCTATTTTTCCAAAAAAAATTCAAAAATCATTTTTTAACATGAAATTTATATTTTTTAATTTTTTTTTTAAATTTTGAATTTTTTTTTGGAATTTTCAACCATGTCAAAAGTCGGGATCTACAAATGTATTCTCTTTGACATAGGATAGAAACATCCTTTCTTATAATTTCATTGTAAAATAAAATTTTCTTAAATTTATTGAATCCAAACTCAACTTTGCAACATTTTATTATCATAAAAACTAAGAAACATCAGGTAAACTTCAATTTGGAGAGCTTAAAATCATATCTAAATTGAAAAATAAGGGGAAAAAATTGTAAAAAAATCTCATTAGATGGGGCAAAAAGTGACTTTTTTAATGTGTTTTTTAAAAAAATCGTGCCAGCTGGCCAAAAAGGGTGTGCCAGCAGGCGTGCCAGTTTGTACAACCCTATTGAAATTCAAAAAGTAAAAAAAAATGTAAACGAATCAAATTTTAAATGGACCAAATGTTGATTTTTCATTCGTTTTCTCATTATCGAAAAAATTTTGGAAATCTAAGAAGTCAATAACAAGTTATATAATACAACAAAACCCACATCGGATATGTTTTCATCAAATAGTCTCCTAGATTTGTTATGAAATTAAAATATCATGATATTTTAAGGGCTTTTGATTTCAATATTAGAATTATTCAGTTATATCGTGCTAATATCAATTGCTTTATACAATTAATCGTTTACAAGCTGCAAAAATCGAACAATAATTTGACTTTGTAAAAAAAGTGCGTCATTTTTATTCGTTATACTTACAAAATGTAAACATTACGAGAAACATTTACATTTGTAAATGTAACAAGTAAAGTTGTATCGCATAATTTGACTTTGTAAAAAAAGTGCGTCATTTTTATTCGTTATACTTACAAAATGTAAACATTACGAGAAACATTTACATTTGTAAATGTAACAAGTAAAGTTGTATCGCATAATTTGACTTTGTAAAAAAAGTGCGTCATTTTTATTCGTTATACTTACAAAATGTAAACATTACGAGAAACATTTACATTTGTAAATGTAACAAGTAAAGTTGTATCGCATAATTTGACTTTGTAAAAAAAGTGCGTCATTTTTATTCGTTATACTTACAAAATGTAAACATTACAAGAAACATTTACATTTGTAAATGTAACAAGTAAATACATCAGATTTAAATTGTAAATGTAGTTTATCTCTCTCATCTCCTTTTTAAAAGGTATTACATACATACGAACGCATGGGTCACTCAATAATTAGCGTGATAATAATTGAGGATAGACTGTAATCGTAATTTTATTTTTGGACTTATATTTCGACATTTTGAAGTCGCTTGAAAGTCTTGCAAATGATTAAATTTGGAAAATTTGACCTAAGTCTACATTATTTTGATGACTTAAACAATTCTATAAATCTGTTTTCCTAAAAATTTAAAAAGATATAATTTCAATTTCCCTAAATTTATGTAATTCATATATCACCAAAATATTTGGACTGCATTTCGTTTGTCTGCACCTAATTAAAGTCTAAATACCAATTAATTTTGGAGTTGCATTGCTTTTAATGTAAAAATGCACGTTTAGAAAAAGACGATAACGATTAAATTACAAAATCGATAACCTCTCGCATATGCATGTATCATCTTTCAACTTCAAACTCAAATGTAACATATTCGATGTTTCTTGAAAACTATGCCTTTGTTTCTACTGAATGGGGTCTTTTGCTTACAGAAGCAAATGATTTGACAGTAAATCAATGTGTCTTTTTGCGAAATACTGCATCATTTACTTTTGCAACTTATAAAGGTGGAACAATGACAGTAATTCATTGTTCTGGTGATACATTGACAAATTCTGGATCAGTTGATGCTGCATTGATGAGTACAGAGTCATTTGAAATTAAATATCAGGTTAATTCACAAGGCAAATGTGGTTTTGGATTTACATACAATTCCTCAACAAAAAAGATTGAAGAAACAGAAGAATATGAGCCTAGAAAGAAGTCAAACTTATCATTTGTTTGTTATCTTGCATCAATTTATTAAAACATTTGAGAAACTGAAAATCGTTTTAGTGTGTACTTACTACTTTCTGACTATGCATTTGAAAAGTGACGATATTTCTGCAATATATCTTTATTTTAATTACAAAAATAGTATAACAGCCATATGAAAAGATACACTTTTTCCGGTTTATAAGTGTATGGTCCCACAGCCATATCATGTACCATGTTGGGATTTATGATAAAAATTTTCTGTCCAAAGATATTAACTTTTTTTTCATAGAAAATTGGGATATAAAGATTTAATGTCAAAAAAATTGAGATAATGTCAGAAAATGGTAAGTTGCCTAAAAATGCAACAATATTATAAAATAAACTTTACTTATTTTTAAAAAACAAACAAAAATAATAATAATTTACTTAACATTGATATTGAGCTTAAGAGCACTTAATGAAGTTTCTAAGATTCGTTGTGGTTCGCGTTGTGAAGTTTGAACAGGTTGTTCTGCAAACTTATCTTCACCATCTTGAAGTTTTGCTGCTGCTTCTTGTTCTGCAACTAATTGTTCCCAATGTTTCAAGTTATTTTGCATTGATTCCAAGTTAACTGTCAACTCTGGGAATATTCTTGCGATAACTTTATAAAGAGGTAAGCAAAGGAAAGTGTAAAAGTTAACCTGTCCTTTAGCTTTGTTCGTTGATTGTTCACGATTCATCAATGGACCAGAATATGGTAATCCGAGAGATTTTTCACTATCACCTTGCCTCCAGAACTCTTCAGACAAAACTTCACACCATTGATCAGCGTATTTAAATGGCCTTGAAACATTAGAAATATCCGCAACTTTCATGATTAATTCCATAGCCATTAATCTATCACTTTCATTCTTCAAATTCAAAGCACCTTGTTCTAAAGTTTCTTCAGCTTGTTTGATCAGTTTGAAATGGTTTGCCATATCAGTTGCAAGTATCAAATGAATTATCCATTTCCAAATAATCTGTAATTCATTATGTGTCAATGCATACAAAATATTTGATTCTTCATTCTTCAATATTTGTATAGCAACTGTACAATGATATGTTTCCATTACTGATCTGTCTTTGAACAAGATTCCTAATGGTGTTTGTGCATTAATATTATAGTTATTGTTATAACCTTCATGACCGGCATCATGACAAATTGCTGCAACACAAACAGCCAACAATTCTAAATGTGTCAAAATGGAATCAGCGTTTGTTATCTTGCATTGATATGATACATATTGCAAGACATCAATTGCATGTATCCAATTATGATAAGGAGGCTCGTTGTAAGATTCTCTCAATCTATAAAGAAAAGTGAAAAATAGTTCATTGGAAATCTTAAATCTTTCCAATAATCCGAACGAACTAAACACATGGAAACAAACTTTGAATAATCCAATACCATTCCAATCGACAGCGAAGAAATCTAAAGAAGTCAATTGGCTTTGTTTGTTGGTAGGAATTTGTAATTTGAAAGGAATTGTATATGTATTTCTTTCATATTCTCCAATCCATTTTGCCATTTCTATTTGTGCTGTACCTCTTTCCGTGATATCCTTTAAATGTTTGCTTTCAAGACATGTACCGCAAAAAGTGGCAAAACTTTGCAACAACAAAATATCTTTTTCTGAGAAATTGGAATTCTTTTTGTTGATGACTTCTATGACACCAATAACTCCTTCATCATTTGTCATTATTGGAGCTGCACAAACAGATTGTGTCTTATAACCTGTATGAAAATCAATCATCTTGTTAAATCTCGGATCGTGATAAGCGTCATTTACTAAAATTGGATTTCCTGTGTTTGCAACTGTTGCTGCAATACCATGAGACATTGGAATTGTTTGTGGAAGTTCTCCACCATCAACAATCAATGTACTTAATACGCCAACAACTTTATCATGTATGAATAATGATGCTCGGTCGCCATTTAATGTTTCTAATGCAGAATGAACAATTTCTGACAAAACCGTTTTCACATGTGAATTCTTTTGCATTGAATTCGAAGATTTAATGAATTCTTCGACTTCTTTGTTCGCTTGTGTTGATATTCCAAACATTTTCTCGTTTTCCATCAACAAGCCTATTAAGTTTGAAATGATCTTCACGAAATTCACGTCAATATTTGAAAACGGTTTTTGATCTCTTCGATTCAAAAGTTGTAAAACAGCGATAACTTCTTTTCTGTTATTTATCAATGGAACAGAAAGTAATGAGTGAGCTTTGTATCCTGTTTGTATTTCAGGTGTCATGTCATACTCAGTTGAAGACATAACATCAGGGATATTATAAATCTTGGAATTATTAAATGTCAAACCAACAATTCCTTTTCCTTGGTCTAATGATATCTTTGTATGACCGTCATCACATACGTATTTTTTATTTTGCTCATCGAAGAAAAATAAATACGATTTATCGGCACTTGTCAAATTTTCGAGGTTTTTAATGGCCCTCGAAACAATTTCATTGAGAGAGACGCCTTGGATCAAAGAATCAGCTGCATTTTCAAGGGATGTGATGCACTGATGCTCAAGAGATGATCTGTTCTTGCCAACGCCGGCTTGTGTGAATCTATCAGCGTTATCTAAAGAAATTGTGATGCTCATACTGACTTCTCGCAATAAAGACTCGTCTTCCTGTGTAAATACAGGAAGTCCTTTATGGCCACGAAGAATTATAGCCCATTTTACCATTTTCTTGATATCTACTAACGGAACTACCAAAATTGCTTCTGAAATGTCGCCATCAATAGCCGGAGTGTAAGATGAAAGCATTTTATTGACACTGCAGTTAATTGGGCACTCTCTTTGAAAGGCTTCCCATACAATTCCGGCACAATTCTCATCAATCTTAGTACAACGAGAATCGTAGCGATATAACTCTTTATTATGCATGTCGTACTTCCAAATCTCGGCTGCGCGTGCATTAAAGAAGCTTGGAACCCTTTGTTGAAAAACTAATAAAAATTGTTCTAATTCCATAACACTTGATAAGTCTGAAATGAATTTTTGTGGAAATGCTGGCTTAAATAGCCATTGACTGTAAATTTTGAACCTTTTTGTAAAGAATAAAATAAAATCTTCATCTTCGTCTGAAAAGAATGGCTTTCCTGGTTGTTTTGTAACTTCTACAACTGCACAGATGTTGTTTTCTGAATCCCAAAGTGGAAATAGAAGAACTTGAGTATTGCCGGGGCAAATCAAAGAATCTTCACTTTCTACGTAAGCGTTGTGCTGAGAAGCTTGTTCTGATTTTACTATTTCGCGAGTAAAGAAAGTAAATCCAACAAGTCCGGAAGAATGATTAACGGTTCTTGTTAATCTTTTAGAATATAGCATATGAAGGGAAGGAATATCTTGCCACAATGTAACTGTTGTTGCGTCAAGGGTTACTCCGATCGTTTCTTCAATAACTTGTGCGATAGGACCTTCTAATGAATTCAAAAGGAAAGAATCTAAAATTTGTTCGTACTTTTGGTGTCTCTCCATAGTTTGGACTTGTTTGTATGATGGTGTTGATTTGTATGAAAATGTATCCGCTTGATTCATCATTGATAACGAACTTTGAGGCTTCTCAAGAGGCGGTAAAGATAACTGCGATGGAGTGCCTTTCTCAGGACTGATCTTGTATCTTACTATTTCCGAATTCTGTTTAGTTAACGTCGAAGATTGAATTGTATAATGAGGGGGAACATTCTTCATTGACTGGTATGGATGCTGTGGATTTAAAAGACTATCTCTAGCTCCTCCTTGGGCCCGCAGTTTATGACGACTGTGGCTAGTGTTGAGGCGAGAAGACATCGAGATATCAAATTTGAACGTTTTTTTATTTTTTATTTTTCTTTTCTAAAAAATGTTTTCCTATGTGTAACCACTATATTTACATTTGAATTTATTCAATGAAATTGAGTGGGAATCTATCGTCTAATTTATATTGAGCATCAACATTATTTATTGATTTTCGTATGTAAATAGATTTGCAAAAAATAATTTTCAAAATGAATGTCAATTTCTTGTGGAAACTGGAATATTTATCTTCAAAGAATCATAATTAATGGATGCTATTTTGAAAATATACCTAAATTTGTGAATAAATATAAAATCTTTGCTGTATATCCTTAGATAAACTCATGATTTCAATATTTTTATTCAAATTCGATAAAGAAGTCATGAATATTGCATAGATTAAACAACATATTGTTCTTATCATTTTATTGATTGGAATATTGTCTCTTTCCTGAGATTGAATCAAAATTCTGAAATATTTTTCTCACTAACTCTAAATTTCTTTAAAATATCAGCCCAGTTGTGTTTAAAAATGTTATCATATGAATATATAAATATTCAATTTTAAAATATCAAACAAATAAAAATAATAATGCAAAATATAATCAACAGTGAACAAAAGTAATAAGAAAAAATATAACCAATCAAAGGAAATCTAAGTAAAATGTGTGTTAAAGAAATTATTGCAATTCCTTAAGTAGATCTCTCATTGATGGAGTTTTTCTCTTGCGTGCTTTAATTTTTTCTCTCAAAGCTCTTCTTTCTTGTTCATGTCGAGCCAGAAGTTTTTGATATTCTTCTTTTTGCTTCTTATCAAGAATTTCTAGCTCGCTGGAGACCGGCTGATCCTTTGGAGGCTCGTAATTTTCCGAAATGAGGGCGTATTCGTAGAGTTGGTTCACGCAAGGTCTTTGTTCGAAAGATAATAAGCAAGTTGTTGCGAAATCAGCGATGGATGGATCCGAAATCTGTCCAAGAGCTGTTGGCAGCTCACCTTTTAGTATGTTATCATGGGGATTTGTCTTATCCGAATAAGGAATGACTCCTGTTGAAATTTCGATTACGGCAAGGCCAAGACTCCATACATCTGACTTTGGAGTAGATATTTTCTGCTGAGCCTCAAGAGCAGCTGTTGGTTGTATCCAATCAAATAAAATACTTTCGAAGGAAGGAGTATCAAGCTTCACTGCTCCGACGCTAGCATCAATGTATATTGTATCGCACGAAATGTTGTTGTGTATTATTGGTGGATTTAAGGCGTGTAAAGCTGTCAGACCACTCATTATCTGTGCACACCATTGTGCGCATGCCTTTGCGGGAATTTGGGACACCTCTTTAATATACGTTCTAAGAGTTTTGTTTGAAAACAATTCTTTAATGAAAATTAAAGTATTTCGGTCAGAATCAACCCAAGCTCTGAAAATTTGTAATAGATGGGCGTTTTTGATTCCTGAATATGCAATAAGAGAATTTTGCATACGAGTGAGTTTCTCTGGGGCTATTCCTTCGAGAGAAATTTCATACCACTCTGCTTCAATGCTTTCTTCTTGGTCAAGGCACTTATATACCTTTGTGCGGCTTTGTGTTTGCTTGAGCTCGCACCGCAAGTAACGTTTACCTGCGTCTAGAACTTGTTGTTCCATTTATTGAAGGGAAAAAAATTAATCGGTCAATTGAAAAAAAAAGATTCAATTTAGATATTATTATGAACTCATTTCATGTGATATGAAAAATTACTTGTTTTCGTTTTGAAAAACGTTAAAATTTTGATCTGAGAAATTTTTGAATTTTTGCGTTTTTTACTTGTAGTAGATTGGAATTAGGTCAGGTGAGTGGGGCTTCCAGGCGCGTTGCGCCCTCTAGCCCCTAAGAAATTTTGCCCAAGACCCAAGAGGAGGACCGAACCCCAGCCGACCAGCCGGTGACAAAACCAAAACCGTTGTTATTTACATCATATTAATAGTGTCACTTTTTAAAATGTCACTTTTTATGTCGCTTTTCACAAATTATATATGTTTTCATGTTTTGTCACTTTTCTGCCACTTTTCGGATAAAAACATCTTTATTATTATATATAAATGAATTTTACAAAACCGCCGTTACCGTTCTTTGGAAATAAGAGTAGATGTAAAGATATTATATTGAGAGAACTTAAGAAACTACCGAATGGTCTAACATTTGTAGATTTGTTCGGTGGAAGTTTCTATATATCTCATTTGTGCCATACAATATTCCCAGACTCAAAGATTATATGCAATGACTTCGACAACTATATGGACCGTCTCAAACATATTCCAGACACAAACAACATATTGAAAGAGTTAAAAGAAAAGATACCTATAGGTAAGATGGAACGTATACCATTAGATAACAAAAATATTGTGAGAGAGGTTTTGAAAAAAGCAGAATATATAGACTGGGATAGTATATCTGCTAGATTATTATATAGTGGTGCTATAAGAGTTCATGACATTAAAACACTTATGTCAAAAGTTTTATATCTTAACTATACAAATGTTTTCAAAGAGGACATAGAAAAATATTTGAGGGTATAGAGTTTGTGAGATGTCATTGGACAGAGTTGTATGAAAAATATAAAGACAAGGAAAATGTTTTCTTTATAGTGGACCCGCCGTTCTATAACACATGGGATTTTCAATACCAAGTAGACTGGACTTTGAGAGACTCTTTAGAAACTTTAGACGTTATACATAACCATCCATGCTTTTACTTTACATCCGATAAAAGTGGTTTGGAAACCGTTATGAGATGGTTAGAAGACATAAACGACTATGAGTTTAGATATGACAAGATAGAGTATGAGAGAGGTCCCATAAACTGGAGAAAGTGTCACAATAAAGAAATTTTATTAGTAAGTAAATGTGGTTTGAAATAGGACTACTTGTTTTAGGTTTTTTCCATTGTGTCATTTATTTATTTGACGTGGCAGAAAGATATAGAGAATATGAAGATGAACCAATGCCTGCAAATGTTCTGCATATGTACTCGTAAGAGATATTTTTATCTAATATTAAATGGACGCACAGAACTTAGCGAATGCACAGCAACCTGGACAACCAAACCCAGAGAATATTCCAAATGAAGTTAGAATACAAACTGCAATGGCAAACTATGGTCAAGTGCCAACAGATGTACAAATGCAAACTGCCATGTCAAATGACGCTGCGTTAGGTTTGCCACCATGGTATGCAAATATGAGATGGAAAGAGTTTTATACAAACCCTGAAGTCGGATATAAACAACTTTATGCAGATGACGCGAACACAGGAGTTGACCCAGAATATGTTTTCTACCAGAAGAGAAACAGAATGTATGAGCTCCAGTTAAAGAATGCTATGGAACTCAACAGGAAACGCAAAAGACTAGGTGGACATTAGATTTTTACATATAGTAAAATGGGTTTCTTCAGTAGTATTGGAAACTTCTTCAAAAGAGTTGGAAGAGGTATATGGAATGGAATAAAATCTGTCGGAAGAGGAGTATGGAACGGTGTCAAAAATATTGGTAAAAGAGTAGTTAGTATACCTAAGTCGTGTACAGAGGCACCGCGCGCCTCCATACACCACTTAGCTGTTTTGACACTTTACAAAACCGTTAACGTATATTTTACAACACAAACACCAACTTAACCTTAAATATTTATAAAGCCGCCAACCACTTCACCTCACTAATGTTTTCACAAACGACTTCACTACTGTAAAAATAAACGTTCTCACTTACAAAAGTATTGCAACTCTTCCCATTGCTGTGCTTCACACAATAGTTCATATTCTTCAGTATCGCTGCTGTCGCTCCAATCGTCAGAGTCAAAGTCACTGTCAAAATAAATGTTAGTAAGTTTTGACAAAGCTAATGAAACACGCTTACCGTTTGTATCTATTGCTTGTATAAACTTTCCATTCTTCATTCCTTCATAAACGCTCAAACTAACTTTACCCTTTCTCCCTCGTATCTGATAGAATGTATTTTCACGAGGAACGAAGAACAAATTCTTGAACTCATGACCGTTGTAGTTTGTTATCTCAATAGTTTTCGTCATTTACATAAAAATAAAATAAAAAATAATTTTAAAAAAATAAACTTAAAAATAATGATATTACTACCTTCACGCGTATGAAAACATAGCACAAAAATAAATTTAGGTGAAGTGGTGAAATCTCACCTCTTTTTTCACCCGGTTTTTCACCCTGTTGAATTCATTGCTTTATAACTCTCTTCCTTTCTCCAACTCTTCTAACTTCTTCTTAAGTTCAGCAATGTTGTCCTCATGAAGTTTAATCTTTCTCAAAATTCCTTCTTTATCTAATGGTTGCTTTATCTTTCTAAACTGAACTCTACCATCCTTCATAGTATGAATGTAAAAACCTTCTGGAATAGTTCCTGATTTAATGTATTCTACCAAAACTTTTGTTTCATTGCTTCAGTGACTTTATTTGTCATTTCAATCAAATAAAAATTTTAATATTAAATAAAAATAACATTATTTTTCAGTAAGGAAACGCAGGAGTTTTACGATTTATTTGAGGAGTAGGTTCTGGTTTAAATGTTGGAGTCGGTTTAGGAGTTGACTTTTGAACAGGAGTTTGTACTTCCATAGGTTCAGGAGTCATTGAAGGTTTTGCTTGTGAAGGCGTTGGTTTTGACGTTGGTTTTGGCGAAGGTGTTGGAGTTTGTTTAACTTCAGCTACTTCAGTATTATTTACAACATTTGCTTTATTTCTTTTCAACATCATAACTGCTCCTGCTGTAGCTAGCAAACCTAGTGGGAGACCATATTTTATATAAGGACTTGACCAAATGCTATTTTTGACAGGAGCTGGTGGAACACCTAACCTTGGTGAGACTGCTCTTTGCCATTGTGCAGCTCGTAAGAAATATTCAATAGGTGCTCCATAATCGTTTGGTAAAGTTTGTTTCATAGATGGTGAAGGTTCACGAGAGCTTGATGAAGAACTCATTTATAAGCTTTAAAATAAACGTTCATCCTTTATTCCTCACCGTCGTCCGTAGCTAAGTTATAGTCATCTAATCTTATTATTGGGATTCCATTAGCACGCACCTGAATGGCAAAGCAACAATCCCTCATAAATCCAATAAGTGGCTTTGGTACATTTTCAGTTGCTAGTTCAATAGGTCCTTTAACAGACAATTTGTATGTTATTGGAGCAGTAGATGTTTGACCTTGCTGGAAGCAAAAGTCCACTTCAGTTGGAAAACCACATACGAAATGTGTGTTGTCATAGCTATCCCATTTATGTTCTACACTACCATCATCCACCAATGACCTCATAACATCTTCATTAAATCCTATCATATCATTGTTTGTATTGCAGGCGTTCGCAACCATTTCATAAAATACAGGTCCATATGATTTTTCAGGTTCTGCAGGTATATTTCCATAAGCTCCCATGGAAAGCTGAAGATATTTAAACTTAGGGTTCTCAAAATTAACATAATAGTTGTCTTTCTTTCTAAATAGTGCCCAAATACTTTTAACATTAATAGGCGTATAAGCTGCTGTAAATGTTGCACTTGAACTATCTGTATTCTTTGAGAATGAACCGTCCATAGGAATCCAATCCATAACTTTAACAGGAAAACATAAAGCCTCGTTTGTATAATGTTCTACAAGTTCTGTATAAATGTTAGGGTCTAAAGAGAATGACTTTGGATGAATGAAACATTCATTAAAATCCATCTTTGTTCGAAATAGTTGCTGAGTTACAGTTGTAATAGTAACTGTTCCACTAGCTTCTACTGCCTTCGTTATCATAGTGAATGGTTCATTCCATGGAACAAATTTATTTGTCGGTGGATTTGAATCTGAAGCAAATGCAACTTTAAGAGTTGGATTGAAAGCAATGATATCATTTACAGATATAGATGTGCATTGTAAGGCGTCGCTACTGAACTTTACTTTAAGCTGAATGTTTCCTGCAAAAGCTGGAATAAATCGAATAGCTTCTAATGGAAGGAATCTTCTAACAGGAATTCTTAAACGAAGCTTAAAATCAAATGATTTTCCTGCTGTAATTGGACCACTAACAATTTGTCCTGTTCTGCATGTTCCCGAATGACTCCATACATCTTCATGTCGAGTCTTTGAGAAAACATCTACTTTCTTTATTTGTTCGGTAGTTTGTGAGTTTGAAGTTATATATGCTTCTTCTCTTGCGTTGTCTTGAGAATATACGATACGACCATTTGCAAGGATTTGATATCCAGCAACTGCATAGAAAGCGTCATCGAAACCAATCCAAAATCCTGGTGGGTTTGTTTTATTGGAACCTGAACCAATTTCTTTATCTACAATAAATTGACCTTCCATTTTATACGTAATGAATGTATTGTAAAGGTCCAACATATTTTCACCAGGAGGTGAGAGATTGAATGTTACCCATGTGTTATCTTTAGCAGTTCCAGGTTGTGATGGAATCTTTGCGTCAGAATATTTTCTATTAGTGTCACCAATTTGAACTGCATTGTCTATGATATCGAAATATGAGCGAATCTGATGAATATGCTCTGCTGGAGTAAATTCGTTTAACTGTTCGTTCTGCATGTCTTTCCTTCGGATAAAAATATCTATTTACTTCATTATTCTCACTCTTCTTCTTGGCATTCGTGGTGGAAGTTGTTTCTTAACATTTTCAATGAACTGTACATTCTCTTTTGTCTCAACTTCTTTCACTGGTGGGTCAGGGTTCTTTGACTCGGTTTGCTTTTCAATGAAATTCACGAACTTTGCAATAAGCTCTTGGTTCGTTATTGAAAGAACATCTAGCTTCTTTTCTTCTTCTTTTGGTGGCTCAGTTTGTACAGAAGGTTTTATATGGGCTTCGTGGGCTTCGCCCTTGCCATGCACCTTAATGTTGTCGCTCTCTGCATTCGCTAATGGTACCTTTCTTTTTCTTACGTATATTTTACCATCTTTACTCTGACTTACGTAATAGAAAGGATGTTGTATTCCTCTTGCATCATTTAATATAATAGACTCTCGCTCTGATTTTGACAAGCTCATTTTACACCGGTTAAAGTTTTAATTTAGTTTTTTATCTGCAGTCAAATGACTCAGACAAGCCCTACGGACAAGACCCAAGGGGTCATAGATGTTGAAGCATTGAAGAAAGAAATTCGCGAGCAAATTTTATCCGAACTGAAGGAACAAAAACAAGAACAAAAGCCAGAGAGACCAAAGAGAAAACTTAGTGAAAAACAACTTGCTGCATTAGCTGCTGGAAGACAAAAGAACCCACGTTTGCTGGCGAAGAAAGCTAGAGAAGAAGCTGAAGCAAAAGCTAAAGAAGCTGAAGCAAAGAAAGAGTAAATGGTTTATTTTTATCCGAATTAAATGTATAGACAAATACCTTTATCTGTTGCATTCAGTAGTGAAAACCCTGACGTCAAAATAAAGGGGAACAGAGTAACGTTTAAGTTTCCAACAGACTGGATTGTGAACATAAATGAAGAGAAGTACATTGGCATAACATCTATGTATATAACACGTGCTTTCAGAAAGGTTGACTTTATACTTCAAGTCGAGATAGAAAATGACGAACAGTCTTTAAGCGCCCAAAACATTCACATATACAAATACTTTAAAGACGATACAACATTGTTGCAATGTATGATTTCATTTAATGAAATGTTCGAGAAAAAGTTCAACATTGAAGTACAAACTTTACAGCCTTTACGTGAGTTTCTTGCACAACTGAAAGAAGAAGGTAGTCAGCCACAACTTATAGACTTTCATTATGAATTTAATGAAAATGAAGATGGAACACATGACTGTCAGTTTGTTGTATTCTCACCATTCAATGAAGTCGCTAAAGAGAAAGAAAATCCATTACGTATAAGATTTCAAATCTCTGAACCCAATGAAGACTTCAAGAATGTTTTCAATTATGATGCAATGCTTCCGAGGAAAAATGAATTTTCAAAGATTGTAACACCTGGCATTTGGGATAGAAAGCAAGCTATATTATATTCAAACTTAAGTAAGGGAGTTGAAAATGAGTTCATTGGTCATACAAGAACTTCACCACTTCCTAACCCTAAATACTATAAATTAACTGGCTTCAATCGTGAGTTTTGGATAGACATGTTCTCCACTCATGACCATAAAGCACCAGTGTTCTTACCTCCAGATGGAAAAGATTGTCTTTACATCGAAGCACAATTGTTGAACTCAACCATCGCAGTATTGTAAAATCTACGCTAGTTTTATTTTTTTCTGAAAATTTTATTTGAGTGAAAGGCATGGAAGGTGAAGGACATTGGCAAACACTCGAACATGACAATGACTATGAAATCTTTTCAGAGTACCCTTATCCAATTAGACGTATAAGCAATAAAAGAGTTGTTAGTGAGTTTGACCAAGGAGATGGTTATATTTGTGTAAATTTAAACAAACACAAGCTGATGAAACATAGAATAGTTGCAGAAACTTTCATTCCGAACCCTGAAGGACTTCGTGAAGTAGACCATATAAACAGAGACAGAGGAGACTTTCATATCTCGAACTTAAGATGGACGACAAGAAGAGAAAACATGAGAAATATTTCTGGTTCAAATGGCTATTGGTTTGACATTGTTGACTCTCTTCCTGAAGACGCTGTTGAAATTATACAATACTCATATCACACGTTAGAAAATTACTACTATGTCCCAAGTGAAGATGTCTTTTACTATTTCATGGGAACTCAATACAGACGAATGAATGTCTTAAGACAGTATAGCAAAGATTATATAAACATTACAGATGTAGAAGGAAGAAGAACAAAGCTGTCTATTGCAAAGTTTAAGAGAGACAATGGTTATACATAAATGACAAAAATATATGACCTCATTATTTTTATCACGAATGACCTCATTGCTGACAAAAATAAATGACCTCAGAACTTCAACTTACGAATAAAGCTTGTTTTAGTCGTTATTGAGAAGTTAAACTTTTCAGCAAAGCAAGGTTGACATGACTTACATAAGTCAAATCCAATCTCTTGACCATCATGAAGTGCTTTGTAAAGTTTCATTAAACTGAACTCAGAGTCTTTGTCATATGTTCCAACAGGTATGTGAATGTTCTTATCTTCATTGTAATAGCATTGTATAGCTTCAGGAAACATTTCATTAGCGGTTAAAGCAAGGACGTCTTGTTTGACACCTTTGCAACGTGCATGGAATGCAACTTCATTTAAATCGTTAGTGAGTAAGTCTATGTAAGTCTTCTTTCCACAAAATATTGACTTGTATGCTAAACTTTGTTTTCCAGGTGTTATTTCTGCGAAGTCAGAATGGAACTGACCTAATGTTTTACCAATAAGTTCGCGACCATATCTCTTCTTAAACTCAGCTGCAAGCTTTGGTATGTCTTCATTGAAAATATGCATGCTGTCACAGTCCTGGTAAAAGATTTGAAGTCCCATGTCCTCAGCAGTACAGAATACTTCATTCATAATACGTTTTGACATTGATAGAATGTTAACACCAAGTGGACAGAAGTTAAAGTGTCTGCAAATGCTTTTCGTTAGCTTGAAAATAGTTTTATCTGAACCATCCAAACCTTCGAACTTCACTATATGGTTGTAATTTCTGATGGCATATCTTATAGCATCTTTGTCATCTACTATGGTTATTTTTGACTCAATAGGAGATAGAATAGTTTTGCCATAAATGCTGTTCAGAATGAGTTTTATAATTTCTTGTAATGGGTTTTCTTCTTTCTTATACTTTAACCTTAACTCAAACAATTTCTTAACTTCATCTCTTATTCTCAAATCTCTGTTTCCATCGTAATAGTATCCTTGCAACACTTCACATTTGACACCTTGATATTTTATGAGGTCTTGTAATGTTATATGGTCAACATACATGAGACAGCAAGTGTTAGAACTTCTGGGAACGTTAAGTTCTGGATTTAGTTCAGGGTCGCAAACTATTAAAGGAAAGTGTCTATGTATTCCAATCTCTGTTATCTTAATGAGAACAAAGAAGCCAGACATAAACTTTTCACCAATGGGTTCCTTTTGGTCGTCATCGAATAAATGTCTCATGAGATACTCTGTGCTTAACATCTCATCCTTCAATACTTTTGGAATTCCTTCTAAAGTATAAAGTCTTGCTATAGCGGATGGATATAATGAAACAGCGTCGAAGTCAGCAATGAGTTTCTTTTTGCTCTTTTGTTTAATGTTATCTGACAACATACATCTTCCACCTTGAATGCATCTCGAAATAAATTCTCTTGGTTATTTGAGAGGTCATAAAGATTTCCATTCGGAAGTATACTCTTCTCAAACAATTTGTTAGCAATAGAACAAATACTAACGTAGTCATAAACGTTTAAATCAAACTCTTTCAATAAGTCATTGCGGAACTTTACAAAACCTTCTCTTAAAATTCTTACATCTTGTTTGCAATAGAATGTGCTATATTTTTCTAAGTCGAAGTGGTTCTCATCTATTCTGCAACCTTTGATGGAATCTATGTTTTTCATGAATGTATCTGCATCCTGGATAAACTTACAAGCTTCAGAAATGACACCAGTTCTGTTGTCATTTGCTAACAAAGTACTGCTGTAGTAGTTGTATGGAAATACTTCTTTCGGTCCTGTTTGTAAGTTAAACATAGCAGGAAATAGTTTAAGTTTCTTATTTATAACACTGTAAGAGTCTTTTATAATAATTGCCCGTCCTTTATATAAACCAGTTATTTGCATTGTTCGTGAACCTTTAATGATGGGAGTTCCTTTCACTTCTGTCATGTGTCTTAAGATGAAGTTTATGTCATAGCTGAGGTTATGAAAATATATTAAACTCTTGTCAGGAAGTCGCTCCAAAAATTCTGTTGCACAGTTCTGACCCCAAATGCTTTCACTAACTGAACCATCTTCACTGTCATAACAGATGTTAAAAGCTTTATGAAAGCCGTCTGTGCTACACTCAAAGTCAGCAAAGAAAACGTGCTCAGGAATGAACTTGCACTTATTTTTATTTACTTCTTTTGACTCTGCTTTCTTCTTCAGTTGTACACAATACTTTGGAGCATATGTCAAATCTTTAAATGGTGCAAGGTTCTGTTTATATAAGTCAGTCGTATATGTGAAAAGTTCTCCATAAGAAATAGGTTCGAAATATTTGCACTCCCACAATGTTTTCATAACATCCCATAACGGTGTTGTTCTATCATAACGAACTACATATTTACTTCTCTCTTTGTATAAATCTTCATCTGTTTCTCAATGTTCATTCCACCACTCCTTCAAGATTTCTATATAGTTTCGAATGAAATATGTTGTCATTGGTAATCTTTCATTTAGCATGTAGTGGTCTTCAACAAGAAGTAAGTCAATAGTTCGAATAGTTTTACATTCTTTTGGTATGTATCTCTTTATTTCATTATGTCTTGAGTCATTGAAATAACCAATGGTAACATTAAATGCTATACTTGTTGCGTCAGAAATTTCTTGTACTTTACTTTGAGGAAAGTCTCTAACACGAATGACTTCTCTCATGTGGTCAATAGTTTCTTCATTTACTCCAGCCTGAATGCAAGCATAAACGAAACAATTGTCTTCTGTCATAAGTGTTGCAGTTCTTTTGTTCAGTTCATTGAAGATTTGGTAGCGTTCAAGATTTATAGGTAATGTGCAAAGATACTTCCAGAACTGACCGCTTCTCTTCTTATAAAACTTCTTTTCACCATTATCTTTCCAAAAGCTTTCTATAAGTGCTGGGTTTCCTGTTTGCTTAAGAGCTTCCAAAATGGCTTTCTGGTCATTTGTCAGTGTGCTTTCATCTCTATATGGTCTCTTTTTTGGTTTGCCTTTCTTTACATCTGACATCGTTAAGCCTTCATATTCTGTTAAATCATACATCTTTATTTCGGTAAGATTCTTTATGTTTGTCAAGAAGAAGTCATAGTGCATTTCAACAATACCTGCAGCATTTGCTTCTATCTCTGATATAAAGTTCTCCTTCAAGAGCTGATGTAGTAATGTTCCAATATTATTGAGGTTTAACGTAGAACATTCATACTTTCCACCAAGTTTATAACATACCATCCATCTCTGTTGTGAGTTTATTTTAATTTTCTCTAAGAGTCTCATGAAAACCTTACCGAAATGTTTGTGTAAGTAGTCTCTGTTTGGTTCATCTAAAGCTTCGATGTTAAAGTCAATGAGTCTATTGCCTGACTTCACATTTCTCTTCCTATTCTCTTCATCTTTCTTTAACCATCTCTCACCTTCTTTTGGTTTGTCGTCAATGGAACGAATGACATCGTTAGCTTTGCGAACTTGTTCTATAGCACTTTTAAACATCTCTCTTCTCTGTTGTTTCAGTGTGTCGTCTCTTCTTCTTGTTTCACCAACGTTTGCATTTGTTATGTCAAACATTTCTCTTCTTACTTCATGAGGTACTGAACGTCTATGATATAAGTCAATAGCAACGTCATTTAAAGGAAATGTTCTTGCATGGACTTCGTCCTCGCCGCGTTGTGGCTTTATGAACTCATGAATTCTATCATAACTTATTTCACCATTGTAGTCTTTAATGAAGTCAGCGAGTGCTTTTTTGTTTGTTGCGTAATGCTTTGCAACATCTATATTAGCTTCTGTAAGAAGTTGTTTTATTTCCGAGTGTTCTAACTTAGACAACTTCCGATACATCTTTAGTAGGAAATAAAAAAATATTTTTTGAAAAAATTAGATTAGATTTTTTAAGTATTTTAAAATATTTAATTTTTATTTTAATGAAACACATGCAAGATTGCAAGTTCTTTTCATACAATGCTCTCGCTACTGTCATCAAGAATGAGTTCAATGGTGCTGCAAACGTTAATGTTATCTTTAACAAGAAGTTTGTGAAAGAATCTAAGTTTGGTCAGTATGTCAGACCATTAGCTATCGTCATTGACCGCAAACGTTATACTTCACAAGAGTTAGCAGTAGTTTTGAAACAAAAGAGTTTCTTCGTGAATGTCAAAGATACTCATTATACTGTTATAAAGAACTCCAACATTGACTTCTTCAGTATTGCTTTAAATCTTTCCGAACAGAAAGAATATACGAAAGGTGAAACAAATGTGAAATATTATCCTTCATCTCTGAAGACAATAACGAACAAAGATGTTATACAGAAATTCTTACCAAAGGTTGAAGAAGCTTCTATTGACATTGACGAAGGAAGTGAAATGGTTGAAGAAATAGACCCTGAAGCTATTTAAGCAAAAATATATTTTTGACGAAGTGCAAATCTTCACTTCGTGTCATTGAAATCGGTAAGTTTTCATTAAATTTTTGCATAATCTTTTACATGTTGTTCGTTCTCTTCTTCTGTCATGAGTTCCGAATATTCTAAATTCATGTTCTTTCATACAAGATAAAAAATTCTTATAAAAAATATAGTGTAGATTTTCATTCTTCCTCTTTGAAGTTGTCGAAATATTCTGTTATTTTTTCCTTCAGTAATGTTAAGTCTTCTTTGAATGTAAGTATTGTACAACCTTTGATGTCATAGTGTGTTTGAAGAAGAGTATTTTTGACAATTTCCTTTATTTGCTCATTCGGTGTCATTGAAATCGGTAAGTTTTCACGATAGAACCAGTTTCTGTCAGATTTATATATCTTAGCTAAGTCATAAAAGCTCTTGTTGTTTCTTCTGACTAAATGCAACATAACCATATCTTTATCTTCTTCTTTCTCCAACTCTTCAGCGTAAATCATATACTTATAGCTCTTTTCCTTTCCTTTTGGTACTGAACGTGGTATTCTTTTCTGTATGCTTTTGTCTTTGGATTCAATGACTTCATCTTTTGCTTGAAGTTTCTTTTCCATCTCTCCACGTTCTGCTTTATATAGTTCATCTAACATCATGAAAATATAACAAGCATAACGAGGTGAATCCCACATTGCTACAGCATTTACTAAAAGTCTATGAACATAATATCCTTTCAAACCAGGAGCCAAATTCTTGCGATTTTCGTACGGAATCTCTTCTCTCGGTTTTCCGAGGGAAGCAATCATATGAGGAAATTCTTCTAAAAGTTCTTTTGTCTGTTGGTTTTCAAACCAATGATATGCTTGCTTTGTAGAACGAAGAGCGTTCATTATACTTTGCATCTGGTACATATCGTCTTTGACTGAACGAACGAGTCTCAATTGTTTGTTATATTTTATGTATTCGTATTCTTCATTTATGACTTCATGAACGATAGCAGTTGTTGTGTTCTCTAATGTTGACATATCTGTCTTTACATACAAAATAAAAAAATAAATAAAATAAAAACTAACTTTATTTTTTTTGAGATAAACACTATTTCTTCACAACATTAAATTTTATCCTGTATGAAATGACTTTAAAAAGATTATTGACTGACTTCGAATACTATCTCATTGACGCACTGACAGACCCTCAAAACTGTGTTGAAAGTTCTTTAAGCTTTAAGATTGAAGGTACGACGCATTTTGTCTTCACTTACGTATTGAAAGAATATGACCGTTATCATAACGAAGTGAATCAAACACTAATAAAATTTGTAGATAAAAAATTGGTTAACAATGAATATTTTAAACGTGAAGACCCAAACACTGCTGGAGATGATGAAGAATACAGACAGGTTATTGAAAAAAATAACGCAAGATTAGATGCAATAGAAAAGAAGTTTAATGAATGTCTTACAAACACGTATGAATATCTTATGCAGTGGGAAGCCAGATGGAAATAAATTTACGTCAAATATGCAATTTATAAAATCTTATGTCGACAGGCTACGTAGCACAGTGGTCTAAGGTGGTGTTATGGAGGGGTCAGGGTCTGTGGTTCGAACCGCGACAGCGCCGTATTTTCTTATTTTCTTTGTTTGTCTTGTTTGTCGTGAATAAAAAGTGTCATAAAAGTGCTCTATCTTCCACGGGAATAAATAAAAAATTTACTTTATTTCTTCTTTATTTCTTTGTTCCCGTGAAAGAAGGGTTTTTGCCGTTTTTTCTCAGCCGAAATCAACGATTTTTTCATTTTTGGAATCCTTAGCAAATGAGGAATCTTTTCTCTCGTGGAAGCTTTGACCAAAAATATAATTTAGGTGAAGAGGTGAGATTTCACCTCTTTTTTCACCTAATTTTTCACCCTCATGACTTTGTCATAACTTCTTCGTAAATGCTTTGTCATAACTTCTTCGTAAATGCTTTGTCATAACTTCTTCGTAAATGCTTTGTCATAACTTCTTCGTAAATGCTTTGTCAAGATTTCACCCTCATGACTTTGTCATAACTTCTTCGTAAATGCCTTGTCAAGATTTCATCGTAAATGCTTTGTCATGACTTCTTCGTATATGAGTGTAAATGACCAAAAATATAATTTAGGTGAAGTGGTGAGATTTCACCTCTTTTTTCACCTAATTTTTCACCTCTTTTTTTCACAAGCGTTTTACATGAATTGTACGATGTATATTTGAAATCCTAAACAGTTTTGTAGCTTCTATTTCTTCGCTGAGGATATCAAAAGTTTTAACAATGCCGAAAGTCTCTTTATATTTCTTCTTGACGTCAGATAGAAGGAAATCTTCTACTGTTGGATAGTTTTTGTTCAGAAATGCTAACATGTCCATTTTATCTTCTGCTGGCTTTTCTGCTTCTTTCTTTAAGTCTGCATAGTCGTTTCGCATTCTTTCTATCTCTTTGACGGAGTAGTTATATTTCCTTATTGCTGCTTTACATTTTGAACATTGCGGCATCGTTTTTGTGTTATACATTGAAACATTACCTGCTAGAACAACTAAAGCGTCAATTGCTCTCTTCATCTCAAATATAGCGGGTCTTAGTTGTTCGTTCCATACTTTGCCTCTTCTATCTTTATCTCTTATTTCCCAAACACATTCAGCAACTAACGAAACAAAGTTGTCGTAGGTCTTAAATTCTTCAGATTTATATATTTCAGAAACATTCTTATATACCATATCGCAATCTTTGTCCATAACTTTATGGTTGCAATGATAACCAAGGAATTCATAATTTACTTTACGTATGAACTTCTTTATTTCTACTGAGTCAGTTGCTTTGACTTCAATTTCGTCGAATTCAGGAATAGTTAGTTTTTGATGCTGAATTTCAGGTAGTTTAGGTAAATGGTCGATGAGGTCCTCCATTTCATAAAGATACTGTTCATTTGTTTCATCTTTCGCACTACAGTCTAAATTACTTGTTAAAAGTTCCTGCTTAATTTTTTGTATTTCTGTTTCGAAAGTAAATGAAGAAGGAATGAAGCTTTCCATCTCTACTAACATAGATGTTGGATTCATGACTAACGAGTTTGGTGAAGTTGTTGTGGACAGAGTCCCGCCGTTCGCGGCTTGAATTGTTGTTGTGCCGATTGTTGAAATCATATCTTTTATACAAAATAAAAAATAAATAAAAATAAAACTAACTTTATTTTTTCTATCTTACGGAAATTCATGAAAATTCACGAGACCCAAAGGGTCAGAGCCGCAAAGCGGCGAGGGTGAAAAAACAGGTGAAAAAAGAGGTGAAATCTCACCTCTTCACCTAAAAATTATTTTGTCTGATTTACATCCAACGAAAAAGTTTAGAAGAATTTTCTTATTCTTTCTGGCATGTTTTTATCTTTCCAGTACTCCCGCTCTAATGGTCCCAGATGTGTTGGCTTTGACTCTCTCAAGTTCTTAGATGGTATAACATCTTCAACGCCTCCTTCATATCTTACTTTATAAGTGTCATCGTTTGTGTTATAGCCAAGTATTTCAATAACCACTCCTCGCTTTGCTTCGTCAATGGTTTCAGCAAGTTTGCCATTACTACTTTCGACTAATTTATGACGAGGGTAAAATGCTATGGAGTCGTCAGCAGCTTTTATAAGATATCCATTACCTTGCGTAGAGTCTACGATATAATAATTTCGACTTAACCTTAAACGTTTCTTTGTCAGCGGTTTGTCGTCAAGAACTACACGAACTTTTGTACCAGGAATGAGGGTAAATTGTGTTGAATTTCTGATATTTTGTGTTTGGCTCCGTTTCTTTTGTATATACTTTTCTTCTTGTTGTTGTGTCATTGAATTTGGTGTATGTCCTGTTGTAGAATGTGTTGAGGAATTGTAAACTTCGAGAAAGTGTTTCATTGTTTCTTCGGTAAAGTCTCGCTCTTGATTTAAATCTCTGAGAGTCCTTATGAAGCGGTTTATGATGCCGAGTATGTTATGGTTATGGTCTTCAGTAGTGTAGTGAGTTATGTTATGCTTAATGAGAAATTCTGTGATTTCATTGCTGAGGTATGCTGAATCCTGGTCTGATGTTAAAGTACTTGGGCTATGTTCTGCTACAAACTTTTGTAAAACTCTTAAAACATCATGAGTTCCTTTATTCCTCATTGGATATGCAAAAGCTTTGCGAGTGTTAACATTAATGAAGATGAGGAATGGTTTATGTCCTCCTTTTCTGCTTTGAATGAGAGTGTCAAATTGGTATGCGTCAGGAGTGTTGGAGTAAATTGGTAAAAAGTAGTCGTAAGGGTTAACATGAATTTATTTTATCTTCTATATTTTTAATGCAGTCTGTAGAGAAGATGAGAGGTCAACTTGTATTAGCTCAATTTCTTCCCACATTTTTCGTTGCCCTTCAGATGTATAATCTATATGAAACCTTACAATAAATGGAAAACTTTTATCTTCTACAGACACAAACTTTATTCTTCGAAAGCCAATAGCTTTTGTGACAGATGGGTCTCTTAACCATCTTAATGGGTAGTCAAAACGATAGCCTTCATGCTTTATAGTATCTAAGTCAAACTTTTGACCGACATTAGTAAAAAGTTCATCTAATGGTTTAGTTGTAGCAACTCTAGAATTTTCTTTTTCTATTGGAAGCATATTTTATCTATAATAAAAATGTCAAATGAAACAGCGTCTATGAGAGAAATACAACACAACCGACAACTCATTATGCAAGCTCTAAATAAGAACACAACAAACTTTTCAAACTATTCTAAGATATCTGAGTCATTGAAAGGGGGTGACTTAAAACTGACATTAAACCCTATAACAGATGAGTTTCTATTTCAAGACAATAAGAACAATACTGTCTGTATATATCCAACAAAAGGAACTTTAAACGAGAAACCTATAAATGAACTTCTTTTGAAAGCAGATGTTGACAACAAAGCAGACAAAGAATATGTAGACGATGCAATAGCAAAAGAAGAAAAAAGAGCTAACAATGCTTATGCAATAAAAGAACATACTCATCCTGAACTAGCAGACAAAACATATGTTGACAATAAAATGTCAAGTGAAGTGACAAGAGCTGAAAACGAATATTCTAAAAAGACTCATATACATTATATTAACCAAATACCAAGTCTTAAGGAAACATTAGAGACAAAAGCAAACAAGACTCATACACATACCATTGCAAATATTACAAACTTACAAGAAACCTTAAACAGGAAAAGTGACGTTGGACATACACATACATCTTCTGAAATAACAGACTTAAACGTTAGCCTTGAAAATAAAGCAGATAAAACATATGTCAATGAAATATACCAAAGTTTGATAGGAACAAAAAATATTGAAACTATTGTTGGTGACTTTTCTGTCAATGAAGAAAATAAATATTTTAGATGGCAGTTGGTACAGTCCTTAGAAAATGGTACACGGTATAAACTCATTCCGAAAAATAACAATGAAATGTATGTAAGCTATAAAAAGAATGATGGTACACAAGCTAAAGTTCCATTAGACAACAACTGCTACTTAAACTTATATGGAGACGAACAAAAGAAATATTTAAGAGTTTATGAAATGGTGGATATGATATTACCTGACCCAGCTCCGGCACCATATTATTATGACTATGGAGATGACGACAGAACACCACATGTAGATGAACAAAAGCTAACATTATATTTAGATTATTATAGATATAAAAGATATAATGCAATAGACAAAACAAGAATAGTATACTATTATGAAGATGACAGAAATAAATATTATAGTCAAGACTTCACTTACTCTGAAAACATAAGATTATATTATAAAAAATATTCTGACACAAACCAGAAGAAACCCGAAATAGTTGCATTATATTTTAAGTTCAAAAGAGACAATCCTATAATATCTCATATGTTTGATTTAATGAACCCAGTAGGTTCTATTTATATATCTATGGATGCAAGAGGTCCTCAAGTAATGTTTGGTGTTGGTGCATGGGAACAAATAGTCGACAGGTTTTTGTATTGTGCAAACTCTTCAAAGGAAACAGGTGGAAGTAAAACGATTTCAGGTGAAAATTTACCTGCACACAGTCACTATATAGATTTAAGTACATCTCAAGCAGGTTGGCATAGTCATAGATATTGGGATTGGTCAGGAATGACAAAAGGTAAAGGATATGATGTTAAAGAGAACGTTAAGTTTGCTATAAATTGTTACTGGAATAACACGCAGGGAGAAGGAAACCATACACATTTCGTTTCAGGATATACGCAAACAACGGGACAAAGTAAAGAATACATGCCACCTTACATGACAGTTTACGCATGGTATAGAATTGCTTAGTCGTCATTTTCAACTTCTTTAGCATATTCGTCAGGAGTTGTCTTATATTTGTTAGGAACTGTCTTTGAAAGTATACCACCTTGAACTTTGACAAGTTTGAAACGAGGTCTGACAATAGTAGTTTTATCTTCTGCTTGCAGTGTGTACATTTTGCCATGTTTGCCTAAAACTTCATAATATTCTCTTGTATACTTTCTTCTATTTTTACGAACACGAATGTGAGTACCTGTCGGGTTCCCATTGTTGTCATAGTCAATAGTATTTTCATATGGGTCGCGTTTAGGTATTTCTATTTTTACTTTGTCACCTTTCTGAAGTTTGAAGCCCGGCATTCTTTCTTGTTTGTCTCTTTTGACTAAATTATTAAATATATAGTCTTTCTCTAAGTCAGGTTGTTTTTCATTTCTTCGGGGGAGTGGTTTCCCAAACCTTTTTGTTTACGGCTATTGTAAATATTTAAAACTTGTCTCATCTTTGCCATGGAGAAGTGTCTATACTTGTCGTCATATGACATTTCATTTGCTTCACCACCTTGTGGTTGGTTTAAGTCTCTTAACATTTTTATACAACCGTCAATGACACCAAGAGCAGAATGGTTTTGGTCGACAATGAAATATTGGTTTACATTTTTTGAACGCAGATAGTTTTTTACATCATCTGATTTGAAAGAACTTTCACAGTCAGATGTCAGTTTTGTTGGATGGTATTTGTCAACGAATATTGTCAAAGCTGCTAAGATATCTAAAATAGCTTTGGACTGTAATGGTATGGCTTCACAGTATCTTGTGTTTTGACCAACAAATATTAACCAGTATGGAGGTCCATCTGTTCTAACTCTCGGAATGTTTTCCAAGATATCCATAAACCAAGCATTTGGTGTTGAACTAAAGATTTTTATCATGAGTGCTTTCTTTGTCGCTTTAGAAACATAGGGGTCCTTGTTTGGATTCGTCATTTTTTACCCTATAAGAAATGGGTTTATTTGGCGCATTAGCAGGAGTCGCATCTAGATTTTTACCCGCAGTGGGAACAATAGCCAGAGGTGTATTTGGAGTTGAAGGAAGATTTTGAGTACATTAGGTATACTTAAAGAGAAAGCACAACCTATTATACAAACTGTACAGAAAGGTTGGGATGTAGCACGAGATGCAACAAATCTTATTCCAAATCCTGAAACAAGAGGAAAAGTTCAAGGATGGATGGACAATGTAGGAAGACAAGCAGGAAACTATTATAACAAAGCAAATGACTACTATAACCAAGCAGGAACACTATATGGACCAAGGTGAAAGATTCTTTAACAGAGGATATAACCATGCACAACAGTGGGTAAACAATAACCAACCTCAACCGCCTCAAACGTGGAGAATGTAAAGTTTTTTATTGAGATGAAATGAACAATGCAGCATTGAGACAAATAAGTTCAAGATGGATTTGTCGGCTTCCAGCATTTAAACCGATACCATATAGTCAGGCTCAGCATGTGAAACTGAATGATATTATTAAAGGAACCATCCCACCTCCACAACAACAACCAGTTGAAAACAAACCAAATTAAAATTTTTTACTGAGATGAAATGACCGAAGAAGTTGAAACGGTAGATTTGACACCACAAACAAAAAGTTCAGAACCATTGTCAAAACCTGTCAAAGAACTTACAGATGAAGAGAAAAATTCAATAATAGAAAGTGCCAGGTCTGGAAATACAAACTCTAACTATAAAGTCACTTTTCATAGAAATAGAACGGCTAGTATCTCAAAAAAGAAACAGACTCTCACAAATAAAATATTGAAGTCTGAAGGAGCTTTCGAGACAACAGATGGAAAAGTTTACTTCACTGACCAACAGTTCATTATAGAACATCTCATTGACTTAGAGTCGAAATATTCTAAACTTTACAACAAACACAAAAAGTTGAAAGGAAAACAAAAACAAATGGCATATGATATTTATGAAGATGTTGACGACACAACTGTTCCTGCAAGTGAAGTAAAGTCAGAGGAACCGAAAAGTGACGAAAAACCGATAGAAGAAGAGAAACCAAAAACTGAAGATAAACCAAAACCAAAGTTTAGTTTCCAAACTAACCAAGTCAACCTTCATTAGCTGGTATGGGTTGGCGTCAAAGACTTATGGCAGCAGGCGGTTATGTAAAGTAAAGAAAAAAAATATTTTTTTATTTTTATAAAAATGCCCCCATATAGAATGGACAGAAAGTCTGCTAGAATAAAAGCAGAGTTGCAAAGATATGGTTGGAGAGTTTCGAAGAAGTTTAAATATAAGAAAGGAAGACCCATAAAAGTCTATGACAAACTGGCTGGTCTGACCTACGAATTAGATTTGGAAACAGCACGTGCCAATTATCCAAACAGACTAGAGCGGTTAGAAGAAGAACGTCTTATGGACATGCCTTTCGATGTTAGTGAACCTCAAGTTGAAGGACACGACGGCTTCGCAAGATTCTACTGGAAACATGACGAACAATTGCATCCTTTGAGAAGGAAAAAAGGAAAAGGTGAAGAAGCACATGCTCCCATGGAAAGAACAAGATATGCATATGAAAAGTATCGTGAAGTTAGAAGTCAAATTACATCTGGTCGAACCTTTACAGTAAACTTTGACGAAGGAAAGAACAAAGAAGGCTTCATGGGTGTACTTGCTGCAATTCAAGACGGAAATAAGAAAGGACACAATCTCAGATTGACCATAACAGATTTGGATGGTCACATTTACTATGCACATGGCAATGAACAAACAGCCGCAAAACTTCTTGACGCTTTCAAGACTACAAAGAGAGAACAAATGGTTGACTCCGAATCAGACATTTTGAATGCAATTGAAGGAATTGCAAGTGTCAAGTTCGAATGGTACCAACCTAACCCTCAAGCAGTCAGACAACATGCTGGATACTTCCCCTTCATAAATAAGTCTGACATTGACTTGACAAGGTATGGAATTTACAATTCAATTGAAACAATTGTCAACGAACCTTGCATTCTTACATGTCTCAGGAACTCTGGTCTTGTTACAGATGAGAAGATGAAGTATCTGAGTCATGTGTGAAGACAAGGTACATTCTCAGAGGTCAATTTGGCAAAAATTGCACCGTTGGCAAATGTCAATATCCGAGTCAACATACCTACAGCTAAAGGTTCTTCACATGACGACTATGTTGTTGACAAAGACTTACCATGGTTGAAGATTGTAATTGTCCACAACCACTTCATGTTGAATGAAAGTCTTACAAACCCATTGTTCGGAAAAGGCAAGTGCAACATTGTCAGAGCTGTAAACATTCTTTTCGAGAAA